ATTTGCGGCCCGCAAGAAAAGTCCAGAGGGCGGTGCCAGCGGAATGCCAAAACCACTGGGCGGATGCCAGCGGAAGAGAAGCTGCCACAGGTGGACAACAAACGAACACAAGACAGACCCGCAGGTGGGGAAACCTGACCGGTGGCCGGAAGAAAGAGAGCAGGACCACTGGGCAGATGCCAGCGGGCCAAGGGCACCAGAAGGCACCGCACGCGCAAACAAGGCAGCAACGGACGCTGAGCCTGTACCCAAGCAGCCACAAGGGGCGCAGCGCAGAAAAAAGGGGAGCGGAACGGAGCACAGAAGGCCGAGAGCGCGGCGGACTCATTCACGTGGCACCCAGTGCGTATACGTCGTCGAGAATGATGATCACCCCCAATATCGACGACGGGGAGGGCCACTTGGCACACAGCTAGACTTCAACTGGTGAAGCACGAGGAGAGGCCTTCAGCCAGTTGCCTCTGCACCACGGCCCGCACTCACACGGGCAAAGGCCTGGGTGGGGTTATTTCAGCCGACCGCAGGCGCAGGAACCCACGGGATGCCGCGGGTACCAATGCGCAGAGTAGTGCCCCGCTGGGGGGGAATCGCGAAGCGTCAAGAATATACTATGCCTGCGCAGAGAGTGGAATTGAGTTACGTGGATCTCGTTTCTATCGGTCCAAGAAGGCTCCGAATCGCCGAACGATCGGTCTCCGACGCCCAAGATGGCCTCCAGTCAAGCTCAAGACGCCTCCGAGAGGTCCCAAAAGAGCCCCGAAAGAGAGACAAAAAGTTGTCCCAGATTTGTTCGAGCTTCCGACGCTCCAGGAAGGCCCAAGAGGCCCCGAAGACTGTCCCAGCCCAAGAGCGGCCCCACTGTTCGAGGCCCCACAGAAAACCCCCGACGACCCACGAGGCCCCCAGAAGGCCCCCAAGACGGCCCAAAGGCTCCAAGATCGCCCCAGGACGGCCCCTAAAGACCTCAAGAGGGCCCCCAAACGCAGGGCCCCAAGACGGCCCAAGAGGGCCCAAGACGGGGCCCAGATGGACAACCCGAACGGACACTTCGAGCCCTCGGCCACCAGGGGCCCGAAGGACGCCCCAAGAGGCCCCCAACAGGCCCCAAGAGGCCCCCAACAGGCCCCAAGAGGCCCCCAAAAGGCTCCAAGAGACCCCCGAGAGTCCCCAAGAGGCTCTAAAACTGCCCAGAGGAGCACTCCGAAGAGACCCCAAGAAGCATCCCCGAGAACTATGAGCCACAAACCAGGCACGGTGGCGGGATGGGCCGCAGGCCATCAAATCCGCCGCCCCGTGTTGATTCATCACAGGGGTGCCTGGCGTGCTAAACCCGTTTGGTCTTGTTTTTGGTTCGTTTCCAAAACAACTCCCCCTGGCGCTTCGGCCTAGCCCGCCGGGGTCCTGGAAAGGACGAAAGGACCGGAAAATGCACATGTCAATGCCTGTCCCGCTCCAAGATGGCCCAAGATAGCCTCCAAGACGGCCAAGATGGCCCGAAATGGCCCTCAAGTTCGCCTAAGATGGTCGAAAAAGGCTTCCAAGACGGCCCAAGAGAGCCCAAGATACCTTCAAGTACGCCCAAGAAGCCTCCAAGACGGCCCAAGAGGCCTCCAAGAGGTCCTCCAGGAGGGCCCGAATAGGCCTAGGTCATAGATTTTCCCAAGCTTTTTGTTGGATTTTGGCATTTGCTTCTTCTCGGCATTCCGACGGCTCAAGACGACCCAAGAGGCCGCCAAGATCGCTCCAAGATCACCCACGAGGCCTCCAAGATGGCCCCATGACGGCCCAAGAGGCTGTCAAGACGGCCCCAAGAGGGCCCCAAGAGGCCTCCAAGACGGCCAAGATGACCAAGATGGCCAAGATGGCCTCCGAGACGGCTCAGATGGCCCCAAGAGGCCTCCAAGACGGCCCAAGATGCACCAAAAACGGCCTAAGATGACCTCGAGATGGCCCAAGACGGCACAAGAGGCCCCCAAGAGGTCCCCCAGACGGCCCAAGAGGCCTCCAAGAGGTCCTCAAGAAGGAGGACCCGAAGATACCAAAATCATTGATGTTCCTATGGTTTTTGAAGGATATTGGCATGTGCTCTTGATCGGCACTCCGACGGCCCCAGACGGCCCAAGAGGCCCCCAAGATCGCCCCAAGATCGCCCACGAGGCCTCTTAGATGGCGCCATGACGGCCCAAGAGGCCCCCAAGACGGCGACCTCCAAGACGTCCAAGATACTCTCCAAGACGGCCCTGAAGCGCCCCAAGAGAGCCCCAAGTCGCTTCCGACGGTGCCAGACGGGTCCAGGACGCCCTAAGACGGCCAAACAGACCCCAAAAAAAAACCCAAAGCCCCTGAGAAGCCCCCAAGAGGACCAGGGAGGCTCCCAAGACGCCTTCAAAAGGTTCCCAGGAAGCACCGCAGAGGCCTCCCGAGAGGCCTCGCAAGACGGATCCCAAGCAAGAAGTCTCCTCCTCCTCCTACTCCTCCTCCTCCTTCCCCAGCGTCCTCATCATCATCCTCATCCTCATCCTCCTCATCCTCCTCCTAATCATCATCCTCCTCCCTCTCCTGACCCTCCTATTGCTCCCCCACGCGTTCCCCGAAAGCTTTCCAAACCGAATCGGGAAACAACTGGCCCGATGGCTTGGCCAAGCTCTAGCCCAGCTGTCGGCCACACAGGCGCTTCCAAAGGGGCATGGGGCGGCGGTGGTTCGCCGCAGACGCCTTCGACACGACAAGTGTGCCGCGCGCGTGCCGTGCCACACTGCGCCGTGCCCGCGTCACGTGCCGCGCCGTGAGGTTTTTTCTTGAAGCACAACAGTGGCAATGAAGGATTGACAACCGATGACATCCACCAGAGACCACGGTCGCCAGTCGCGGAAAATACGTCCTGCGAGCGTGGCCGAAACTCCGAACGGAAATTCGGGCGCCTGTTCGCCTGGACGAGAGGAAAGGAGGAGGAGGAGGAGGAAAACAGGACAAACAGCATGAGAAGGAAGAGGCGAATGCTGATACGAAAATGTCCCCAGTTTGAATCATCCAGCTCCGTGCACAGCGCACTGAAATAAGAAAACTCAATGACAATCTGAGCGGTCGCAGCCCAGACTGGGCAGATCGACCAAGGATAAGGCACAAAGGTCCCGGGGAGGAGGAGGCGGAGGAAGGAGGGGAAAAGGAGGGCGAAGAGGAGAAAGAGGTAGAGGACGCCCAACGCAGGCACACTGGGAACGCCACTGGAGCCAGCCTGCCATAGGCGAGCTCAAGCTACGGCCCTGGGCCTGAAAGACCAGACGGGGCAGGCCGTTTGTAGGTATCCCCCGAGGCCGGGACGGCCAACAACATCTCACACGAGTGCCGCAATCAAAGGGCGCAACGAGCGCACGGAGGAGAAGGAGAAGGAGGAGGAGGAGGAGGAGGAGGAGGAGGAGGAGGAGGAGGGGAGTGGGAGGAGGAGGAGGAGGAGGAGGAGGAGGAGGAGGAGCAGGAGCAGGAGGAGGAGGAGGAGGAGGCGGAGGAGGAGGAGGAGCAGGAGGAGGGGGGGATGAGGAGGAGGAGGAGGCGGAGGAGGAGGGGAGGAGGAGGAGGAGGGGGAGGAGGAGGAGGAGGAGCAGGCACGAGCGCAGGGAGAAGGATGGGGGGGGGGGAAGAGCGGGGCGGCGCCGCCCCGCCGAGCCGCTCGGCTCGGCCGTGCGGCCTGCCTCGGCCACACGCCCAGGGACTCCAGCGAGGAGGAGGGGGGTGGGGGAGGGACGGAGAGGAGGGGGGGGGGAGGGATTCACAAACGACGAGGAGGAGGGAGGGGGGAGGGACGGAGAGGAGGGGGGGGGGAGGGACGGAGAGGAGGGGGGGGTGGGAGGGATTCCAGCGAGGAGGAGGGAGGGGGGAGGGACGGAGAGGAGGGGGGGGGATTCAGACGAGGAGGAGGGGGGGGGGGAAAGGGGAAGCGACGGAGGGAGACACGCTGCTGCCACGCTGTGCACAGAAGCACAAAACCCTGACGTCGGACGACTGCACCGAGGGCGGAGACCAGCGCACGACGAGTCGGGCGGGGGGAGGAGCGGACACATCAGGCGAGGGAGCCGCGCCGTGAGGTCCTCCGCCCCTCCGCCAAAAAAGGCGCCGCCCGCGTGCCGCCCACGTGCCGCCCCCGCCCCGCCCACGTGCCGTGCCCGCGAACCGCGCCGTGCCGCGCTTGGCTGTCAAAAAATGCGGCAGCGCGGCACGTCGTGGCGTGCCCGCGCGCTGAGGCCGTGCCGTGCCGTGCCGTGCCGTGCCGCTCGTGGTTCCCAAAACACAGACGCCGCGGGAAGCTTCAAATGCGTTGTCACGGGATCGCTCGGGGCGCTCGAGTGCGGCACGACGCCTGCACGGCGCAGCGTGGCGCGCCGCGGCTGGCTTTCAGGATGCGGCTAGATCGCCGTGCGGAAGCGCGAAACAATGTGCAGCTGGGGTCCTGGAATGCGACAATGTTCAAAATGCGACGGGGTCGCCGTGCCGTGCCGTGCCGTGCTTGGCTTTCAGCATGCAGAAAAATTGCCGAACCGTGCCGCGCACGGGTTTCAGAAAGCGGGCAAAATTGCCGTGCAATGCCGCGCCGTGCTCAGAAATCAGCGTGCGGAAAATTGTCGTGTCGTACGGCGGCGTTCCTGGCTTTCAGGATGCGAAACAATGCCTACCGTGACGTGCCGCACATGGCTTCAAGAATGCCACTAAGTCGCCGTGCCGTGCCGCGCTTGGTTTTCAGAATGCGGACAAGTTGCCGTGCCGCGCCGTACCCGGTTGTCAAAAAATCATCTAAATCGTCATGTGCCGACCATGTACCGACCATGTACTTTCTCATGTACCGTTGGTATCTCAAGGTCGATATGCCGCTGCAGTTCTGCATGAGCACGAAAACGAGGGGCAGCAGCGGGAGCACGGGCAGGAGCACGAAGCCCTGTCGAGAACAAGCGGAAGGAACAGAGGAGCGGCAGCCCCGCAAGCAGGAGGCAACTGAAGAGGACGTCCGCCTTGGAGTTGATGAAGAAGTGGACCTTACCGTCCCTCGCGACAAACCTCTTGCCACCTCCGGGGTAGATGCGGTACTCCTGCGAGCGACTTCGGGGTCTGCATCGTACGCGCAAAAACTGCCCTCGTCTTCCCGCGTTCTCATTTTGTCGTCCGCGTCCTTGTGTCTTCCGCCTGCTTATCATTCCCCTTCCCCCCCTTCCTCACACTCCACTTCCTCTTCCTACCCCTGCTCATCCTGTTCCTCCTCCTCCTCCTCGTCCTCCTCCTCCTCGTCAGCATCACCATCATCATCACCATCATCATCATCATCATCATCATCATCATCATCATCATCATCATCAGCATCAGCATCATCATCATCATCATCATCATCATCATCATCATCATCATCATCATCATCATCATCATCATCATCATCCTCATCACCATGATCATCATCATCATCATCATCACCATCATCATCAGCATCATCAGCATCATCGACATCAGCATTAAAATCAGCATCAGCATCATTATCATCGTCATCATCATGACCATCAGCATCAGCATCATCATCAGCAGCATCATCGTTGTCATCGGCATCGTCATCATCATCATCACATTATTCCTCCCCATCTCCATTCCATTTCCTTATTCTCCAGACAGTGTTTGCACTTAGGGGTTCTTACTTGGCTTAACCATCTCGGCTCCAGGGACGGCTTTGGCGGGCGGTGCCGCCCGTCGCCGCCGTCGCCGTCGCCGTCGCCGTCGCCGCCTCTCGGGGCGAGTGGAGGCTTTGGCGGGCGGTGCCGCCCGTCGCCGCCGTCGCCGTCGCATAGATTATCTCCCGTCTCGAAAAAAATAGGATCCACCACCACCCCCTTGCTTTATCGGTACACACTTGTTTGTGTTGCAATGTACATACAATTCTGCCCCATCGTCCATCCGAAATATGAACTCATACCATCCCAGCCGAGCTGGGTTCGACCCCCCCCGCCATCCTCTGCCAAAAAGTTCTATGAGCGCGCGCGAACGAAGTGCACACGCGCGCGTCGTCGCGCGCGCACGCCAAAATCCTTAAAAAGCCTTCGATGTCGTAAGGAGTTCAAAATCGAGTGTCCAATATATATATATATATATATATATATATATATGTATACATATATACATGTATACATACATACGCATATGCATATATACATACATACATACATGCATGCATGCATACATGCATGCATGCATGCATACATGCATACGTACATACATACATGCATACATACATACATACATGAATGCATACATACATACATACATGCATGCATGCATACATACATACATGCATGCATGCATGCATGCATACATACATACATAAATGCATGCATGCATGCATGCATGCATACATACATACATACATGCATACAAATGTATAGAGAGGGAGAGAAAGACACTCACACACCACAACAACAACAGCAAATGGGTTTCGAAACACGGATGTTACATATTATATATACATATATATATGTATATATATGTATATATGTATGTACACACACGATGGACCCAACCGTATGCAGCTGCGAGTGCCGCACTGTGGGTACAGCTTCCGGTGGAGCTCCCTATGAGGCCACGAAAAATGAGAGGGGTGCGCGGAAATCGGTGGTGCGGCCACGTGAGGACACCGCCACTGGAGCCTTCGGTGGAGCTCTTTATGGGGCCACGGAACGTTGCCCTGGGTGGCGTTGACGCGTGCGAATTGCGCCATGGGGACCTTCGCTGGAGCTCCTCTGGGGCCACGACACGCAGTCCTGGGTGGCGCTGACGCATGCGGATCCTGCCACCAGAGCCTTCGGTGGAATCCCCCTTGGGGCCACGAAACGCTGTCCTGGGTAGCGCTGACGCATGCGAACGGCGCCAGCGGGACCTTCGGTGGAGCTCCCTATGGGGCCATGAAACATTGTCCTGGGCGGGGGAGACGCATGCGAAGGGCCACTGGGGCCTTCGGTGGACCTCCCTATGGGGCCACGAAACGCTGCCATGGGTGGCGTTGACGCATGCGGACCCTGCCACCAGAGCCTTTGGTGGAGTTCCCTGTGGGGCCACGAAACGCTGTCCTGGGTGGCGTTGACGCATGCGAACGGCGCCAGTGGGACCTTCGGTGGAACACCCTACGGGGCCATGAAACATTGTCCTGGGCGGGGGAGACGCATGCGAAGGGCCACTGGGGCTCTCGGTGGAGCTCCCTATGGGGCCACGAAACGCTGCCATGGGTGCTGGTGACGCATGCGGACCCTGCCACTGGAGCCTTCGGTGGAACTCCCTGTGGGGCCACGAACTCTGTGAAGAATGTGCGTACATGGGTGGCGTTGACACATGCGGACCCTGCCACGCAGAGCAAACCTTCGGCAGGGCCCCCTTATGGGGCCACGAAACGCTGTCCTGGGTGGCGTTGGCGCGTGCGGACCCTGCCACTGGAGGCTTCGGTGGAAATCCCCTTGGGGCCACGAAACGCTGTCCTGGGTGGCGTTGACGCATGCGGACCCTGCCACGGAAGCCTTCGGTGGAGCTCCCTGTGGGGCCACGAAACGCTGTCATAGGTGGGGAAACGCACGCCATCGATGCCACTGGGGCATTCGGTGGAACTCCCCATGGGGCCACGAAGCGCTGTCCTGGGTGGGGGAAACGCACGCGAGCGGTGCCATTGGGGCCTTCGGTGGAAGTCCCCATGGGACCACGAAACACTGTCCTGGGCGGGGGAGACGCATGCGAGCGGTGCCACCGGAGCTTTCGGTGGAGTTCCCTATGGGGCCACGAAACGCTGTCCTGGGCGGGGGAAACGTATGCGGACCCCCCTGCCACTGGAACCTTCGGTGAAGGTCCCTGTGGGGCCACGAAACGCTGTCCCAGGTGGCGTTGACGCATGCGGACCCTGCCACTGGGGTTTTCGGTGGAGTTCCCTATGGAGCCACGAAGCGCTGTCATGGGTGGCGTTGGCGCATGCGGACCCTGGAGCCTTCGGTGGAGCCCCCTTTATGGGGCCACGAAACGCTGTCCTGGATGACGCTGACGCACGCAAACCCTGCCATTGGGGCATTCGGCGGGGTTCCCTTTGTATGGGACCACGAAACGCTGTCCGGGGTGGCGTTGACGCATGCGGACCCTGCCACTGGAGGCTTCGGTGGAGCTCCGTATGGGGCCACGAAACGCTGTCCTGGGTGGCGTCGGCGCATGCGGACCCTGCCACTGGAGCCTTCGGTGGAGCTCCCTATGGGGCCACGAACCGTGTGAGGGGTGTGCCGACATGGGTGGGATGAGGAGGACGATGACAGTGACGATGACGAGGCGGATGGGAAGAGGGAGGAAGGGGAGGAGGAGGAGAGGAGAGGAGAGGAGAGGAGAGGAGGAGAGGAACGCGGGGCGCTAACTCTTCAAAACGAGGACACAGCACCACAGGATGGTTGGGAAAAACAGCAAGGAGGAGCAGTCCCATCAGAAGCCCCGCTGAGCTCATCGCGGCCAAGATGCCGCGGAACCAGGAAACGGTGACGACTTCCCCGGGTACAGACACAACGTCGGCACACCCATAACGAAGAGAAGAACCCCAGCAGCAAGGCAGCGAGCCCTCCCTGCAGGCACCGAAACAAGCTGGTGGGGATATTTGTTGGTACGCGGGCGCGCGAGGACGAGTCGAACACCGTGCAAGCGAAGTCGGGCCGCGCCGAAGCAAAGGAAAAAGCAACGAAGCGAGCGGTACCCGGCTCAGAGCGGAACTGGGCACAGTGCAGCCAGAATGGCGCATCACAGACCAGCACCGAAGTCACGCCCACTGAGGTGCCAATTAGGACGAAAGTGGTGAGGAAGAGTGACCACGCGCATGGAAAGTCGGCAGTAGACAACCCCAGGACGCACATGCCGAAGACTGTGTCCAACAAGGTCCAGTGGTCACGACCCAGCAACCATGCGGCAGCCAAAAGAACAAGAGCATACTGGTGGGGTTACTTTTTTTGATCGCGGGCGGACGCGGATTCACAGTCGCCGAACTGAGAGGTCCGGGCCACGGGCCTTGACTGGTGGGGATACTTTTTGGTTCGCGGCTCCAAGGCAAAGGTCAGGGACCGGACACAGCGTCCGGGATGCGGTACGGACCGAATTTGCGAGTCCAGCCGACACTATCGACAGCCGACCGCACCTGCAAGCATGCTCGCAGTTGCACATGCACAGTACAAAATGAACTAAATTCGCAGACAAACGCACGTAGGCGCAGAAGCGAACCGAAGGAAACGAGCTACAAGTGCGAAGACAGCAGAGTGAGTCGCCGATGCGGCGCCAAACTCGTGCTGACCGTGCGAAGTGAGCGAGCGACCAGCACACCCTAGGCGAACCATGTACAATGGCGAGGCAAGAGGGGGCCTGTCGCAACGAACTCAGTGACTCCACAGGGAGGGCGGGCCACGTAGAAGCCTTCTGAAGACGAAACTCTGCTGTGCACTACCGAAGTACCACCTGCAGCTAAAGCCAGCGCGCGCACACCGTATCCGACACACGCAGTTCGGGGGCATAACGATGAAGGGCTGACAAGAGCTGCGCAGACTGCTCTGCAAAAAAAAAAAAAAAAAAAAAAAAAAAAAAAAAAAAAAAAAAAAAAAAAAAAAAAAAAAAAAAAAAAAAAAAAAACCACGACCGCGAACAGCGGAAGGCTGAACCACTCACTGCAAGGCCGCTCCCGGGGCGAGGCCAGGCAACAGGCGTCGCCCAGTGCACGGCCGTCAGCAGCGACCAGCATCTGCATGCTGGAGCCAGCGCGCGCTTCCGCACCGAAACAGGCCGCACGGGGGAACAACGAAGCAAAGCGCCGGCGAGCAGACGTCCAGGGCTGCGCTGAAGAGGCGACCAAAGTAGCAGGCCCGACCAACCACTGCGGGGTAGCACCCATCCAATGAGGTGGCTGAATTGAGCGCCAAGAGGCAGCGTAGACCATAGGTGCTCGTTCTGAGTGAGCCATCTCCAGCCAGTAGCCAGTGTATGCACATCGTACCCGACTCACGCAGTTCGGGGGCACAACGATGCGAGTGCTGGCGAGGTGGTGGCCTGGGCTGCAAAT